GCAGGAAAGCAGCCCTGGGGGCCCTGGAGAGCACCGCTGCCGCCCCAGTGGCCCCAACCCTGTACCTCGGGGCCCAGCATGGCAGCGGGGTCCGTGATGGTCAGCATGACCTCGTTCACCAGCTCCATGGGGATGTCTCCCATGACGCGGATCCGCTTGGCATCTTCCAGCGTCAGGCTCTCGGGCAGCTTCCGCTTCTCCCCTGGGGAGCGGAGCAGAGCGGCACGTCCAGCACCAGGGGGGACAGAGGAAGGTCCCAGCTTCCCCTGGTGCTGGGCTCACGCCGGCCCGACCTGGCAGGGGCTCCGGGGTGCTGGCGTCCATGCTCGCAGCAGAGCTGCTGTTGCTGAGCTTCTTGCTGAAGAGCGGAGTGGTGGGCACAGCGACGGTGCGGACCGCGAAAAAAAAGATGCCTGTGACTGCCAGAAAGCAGCTCGTCCTGCTGCAGCAGCTCAGCCACCGCCACCGGCCAAGGCTCACCCACACCTCGGTCCCTTTATCCCACAGCCCCCGAGCTGGCTGCTCCCCACGGTACCTGGGCGAGACACGAGCTGGGCCCCCTCTGCAGCTGGCACAGTGAAATCAGCCTCCCAGATTGGAGAGTTCTCGCCGTAGATCTCCTCCTCCAGCATGGACAGGAACCTGGCAGGGAGCGGCATGTCAGCCACGCTCAGTGTGTGGTGCCCGGAGGGAGGAGAGCCTCCCCGGTGGTGCAGCCACCATCCCCATGTCAGGCACCTACTTGGGGAAGTGGGTGAGGATCAGCGTCCGCTTCTCCGGCACCAGCTTGTCCTTCTCCACCCGGAACTTCTCCAGCAGCTGCCGGCGGGTGACGGTGAAGATGGACTTGAGGAGGCTGCGCCCAAAGACGTGCGTGGTCTCGTAGCGGGGAAGGCTGTCGCAGCTCTGCGGCACGTGGCAGTAGCAGAGCCACCTACGAGACAAGAACGTGCTCCAGTGATGGGGCTGGGACCAGCGAGCCCAGAGCATCCCCATCCCTCCCGGGAACACGCTGCTGGAAGCAGGGACAAGAAGAGCAGGCATCCGGGGCATCACGGCTGATGTCCTCTGGAACAGTCTCCCCAGCAGATGCCTCATGTACTCTCCCGGACCCCGGGAGGCAGGGGTCAGCCCCACGCAGGGGTGGCAGGAGCGGGCAGACCCCCAGGCTGGCTGGCTCAGCCCCGCTCCCGCCCTCACCTCGTGTAGTTGACCTTGTAGGTGGCCACATCGTCGTTCTGCGAGCGCTGCCGGAACTGGGACGGCGTCTCCAGCTTCCAGTAGTTGAGGCAGAGCAGGAACATCTTGGAGAGCTCGTACATGGTCTGCCGCTCCTTGGGTGGCAAGTGGCTGAACTTGTACTGGACGAAGTTCAGGACTCCCTGGGGAGAGGCAGGGGCGCTGGAGGGGCACCGGGTGCTGCACCAGACCCTTCAGCGCTGCCCCCGAAGAGGGAGGGGACTGTGCAAGGGCAGCAAAACACAGGACAAGTCATCGGTGCAACATGCGAGCCTGGCAGCAGCCTCACCTGCTCGATGTTTGGTTTCTCAAAGGGGGGGCTCCCTAGGGACCCCTCGACCACAGGCTGGCTCATCTGCAGGATGCACTTCCGCAGGAGCTGCGAAGGCACCGTCAGACACGGTTACTGAAGCCGCAGGAGCTGGGCACACCGCGGGCGCTGGAAGCAGCAGAACGCTGCTGCGGGGCTGCACCGACATACGCAGCCAGGAAGGTGCCCGGGTCCCCCTTGGAGCACGGACATTTCTACCCCCGAAACCTCCCTCCCAGGGGAATTCATGGCCGGGAGAGCAGTCGCTCCCAGCACAGGGTTGGTGTTTCGGGTCTCCGGCTGGGCTGGCAGGATGGCTCACAGCCAGAGCCCA